TTTCGTTCGTATTTACTTCTTTTTTTCGTGATCGGAAGACGATTATTAAAAATACAGCTGTAAATTGAAACCACTGTAGTTGCGTATCGTGAGCAATAAGTGGCAACAATGTCGGGCGACAATGAATTCAAGCGATTGACACATTGCCATGAATACACTTGATAACTGCTTGCAGACTTCCAATGGACATTGTTTATGTTTGGACTGTTGAAACAATAGCAAAATAAAGGGTTGGGCAACTACTCTTTTGTTTAGGCTTGGGAAGAACAATGCAAGCTTTTTACAAATAATTTCAGCTGGATGTACGTTGGTGGGCGGGTGTTGAGAGTTACTGGGCGGCCGTAAAACTTGATGGGCGGGCCGCCCGCCTAAAACCCCTTGTGGAGAACACTGAGTTGACCATATCATTAGGTGTTAATATCAGGTGACACAATAAACTACTTACGCGTGAAATGAGCCAATGTGCTTCAAAAGAAACAGGAATTGTACTGCAATGACAATCATAGCCTGGCATGTACGTGTGAGGTGCACCTTCGCCGACCGAACGGCATCAGACCCTACTAACGCCTGAATCTCATGTCGGCAACATCAATACTGCGAATTCACAAAATTCATGCCTCCTTGCAAAGAGTTTCAATGAATATTCATTTTGGTAGTCATGGTAATACTGTCACTCAAAGACGCGTTTGCATTGTCGGCAAAAAACAGAGACTGTTTTCAAAAGATGATAAACATTGGGCAGAAACTTGCTCCTTATCACACATTATTTCAACAAACAAATAAACTTTGCCGTGAATGGTTACTCTTTGATGGCTGTCACTATTTGACATTACTGCAATTTGATTGGTACGGACAAAAAAAACCATGGGGAAAACTACATCGTTTTATCAGACCTGTGTTGGGTTTGGAGCATCGTGGAGGGCGCAACTCACTCGAAATATAAAAATAATCAGTTATACAGGTTCATAGTTGCAGTGTACAAAGGAAAACATTAATTTCCAATAACGCATTTGCCCTGTGACCAAAACTCTCTCTACATAAACCAAATTATGGAAAATTTTATGAATTCATAGTCTCGAAATTTCTTGGCAATATCAAAATGAATGCGACACACCTCCTTCGTCACCATCATCATCTCCATTCACTTTCTGTTTTTCCAGTTTTTCTGTAACTTCATCAACATCTTTCTCTAAATTGCTTTGCTCTCCTACTTCGGATTCTCCTTGAGCTCCTATAGATGAAAAAATTTACAGAAATATTAAATATTAATTAATATTATTGGAGACTATTGAATGTCAAGTTGACCAACTCTTCTGTTTACATGATACAAGTAAATCAACTGTCATTCTGTGATTGTACAAAAATTCTGCAAAACAAAATACTGCATTCAAGATATTTTTGACAGGTGTTTTAAAGATAACTGCACTTCAAAGTCTGGTTGTTTGATTTGCACTACTAACTAAGCAGAGCAAAAACGTGCAACATTATACTTCATTTGGATGAGCGCCCTCTTGTGGCCAATATTTTTACTTGTCCAGATATTTTACCAAGCATTTATACCTTCAAATAAAATTGTGAACTAAAATAACTTAACAGCTACTGTAAAAGCATTTATTTTCACTTGCATTTTCTTAAGCTATTTTGATGTTTTGAGCAATTTCAAATACACAAACAATAAGTTCTATTGTTATACATTGTACTACAAGTTCACATGGATTTAATTCAGCGAAATTTACTTTTCAATGAAAATAGAAAAAATTAAAAACCAGCGATTAATTAATGCATTTACAGTAACATATTGTTTTCTAGATTTAAACGTTCTACTGTAATATCATTCCTAAAGCTGTATTTAGGCAATGTGACTATTGCTTGAAATATCTGATTTGTACATATAAAATGTCTTGCAATTGTGTAGTTTCAAGTAGAATCTTTCTCACATATCATAACATTTGCATGACACCTTATCTTGTAAATCCTTGATGACAAAGTTGTACATTTTAGGAGAACAACATCACACAGCCATCTCACAGGTGTGTAGTTATGAGTGAAAGTTAATTGTAAAGAGCATACAGTTGGTATGAGCTTGACAAGTCCAAGTTCCATAAAAATAAATTTCATCGCAGTTAAATAAACATTGTAATAACAGAGAATGAAAGGGAAAGTGAAAAATAATGGGTGAAATGTAGCTGAGCCCATAATTTATTAAAAATCAACATCCTCATCTGAGCCCTGTTATGCAATAATAGGCTGGTAGTATGAAATTCTTTATATTCAATTAAGTACAAGTCATATCATGACAGGACTGTCCGACACAGACCCCATGGTAAACACAACTGAGATGAATTAACACTTTAAACAAATGCATGTCAATTTGCACTACTGGTTAAAAGTGCAAAAAAAAAAAAAAAACACTATTCCCAACAGCATCAGCGCGAATTTTGTATATTCTCAAGGTTCAATGGTGTGAATCCGAATTGAAATTCTCATCCATTCATTGGTTCATTTATAGGATATATACAAAGCATATATATAGGTCACGAATACTGATATCTGATTGGTGGAAACACCCAGCCATGTTAAAAATATATTTAGATAATCGACACATCACCCACGTGACGATACACTGCATGTGCACCATATTATTAAGCACTAAGTTGCTGTTTCGCAGCTCTTGGTTTTACTGTTGTAATTCTTTTTTTATCGTCGGTAGGAGACTTCGATCGAAACAACCCTAACCGACGGTTAAAAAGCGAAAGCATGGAGCTAAAAAGAGTTTGCTCCACCAAATGCTGGATGGGATATGCTACGTATACTGAATGAGAACTCACCACCTTTTTTCTTCTTTCGTTTTCGCTTCTTCTTTTTCTCCCCTTCTGGTGCGGAACAATCTTCCACCGACAAAGTTTTTCCATCTTCAACTTTAAGTTCATTCTCTTTCTTGATATTTTCGGAATCTCCCTCTCCCGTGTCCGCCATGTTGTACTCAATTCTCGTTTCAAACTCTCGCGTCAATATCTTAACTTTTTCAACGTTGACGGCGTACTACTTTTGAGTGGAAGACTTATATCCAACGTCTGTACGGTTGTTGCTTGAACACCAGTTTTCTGTTGCATTTTCAAGTGTTGTGACAATCATTTTCTAATTTCGTCAAATTAACACACTTGTGAAGATCTCGAGCTGGTTGTAATAGATTCAAAAATACTTTCTTGGAAGAAAAAGTTTATAAATTATCTAGTGCTCACTGTCGTGCTGAGTTCGACTTAGGAGTGTCGTTTTAGCTCCATGGTCTACCTGAGTTGTCATCTATGATCGTGTACAATAACCTGTATCACTGAGGAGTTAGGTGAGTCTAATTAATATAAAATCATCTGTAAGTATAATAGACTTGTCAGCAAGGCACTTTCCCTCGAAATGGTGGTACTCTCCTCCGTCATTGAAAGTTTCCTTGTGCCCTTGAAAAAATACTATTAGAGTGATTCATTTTTGAGAAATCTGCCGGGTTAAACTTTCAAGGTGTGAACAGGTTGAAATATTAGGAGAATATCTCCGTGGGAAATATCTCCCAATTGTGAGATTCATTATTGTTTTCCCTGTATGAAAAAAATACGAAGGTTAGTCCATGACACTTGCTCGAAATGAAATTAGATATTACTTTCTGGCTGTTGTATTGATAAATTGTCATTTGATGATCACGTCTCTGTTTTGGGGAAAAAGCCTTGCTACCTGTTGTATGTTTTGTATCATGTAGCTAAAAAAGTGCTCCATTGTTGTACATGCAAGTAGACAAATGTGTAATCCATTACAAAATCTACCCTTTACAGCAAGCGCAAGATATTTACTAGTACATACACCTAACTCCCGCACCCGGTAGGTAATTACAGAGGGACTTTGCAACATCCCCAGACACTTTCCTAGATGCTCTAATGACCGTGGTGTATGTAAATATCTTGCACTGCTGTAATACATTAATTTAATTTCACCTTGTTATACCTTGTCTAATCATGTAGTCAAAACAAATCTCTCTCTCTCCCAACAGAGCCTTTCATTCCTGACAATTGTCATGGGATACCATCAACTATAGTTTTTAATAAAACATTTATAATCTTTTATTTTGACAAACTTGTACTACAAAACCATACTCACTGGTTTGAAATTCATATATTATACAGTGAAACAAGAACTCTATTTTGTGCATGTTCAAGTGCATTTAGTTTAGGGGATTCCACTTGCATGTACACACTGTATCAGCAAAAATAACAAAATTAGAACCCAGTAAAACAGCAAATGGCAAAATACACTGCTATCTCCCTATCAATTTTTATTAGAACATTGTAATGTTCCTTGCAAGATTTTTAGCTGCGCTTGTTTTGACTTGCATTCAATCATTGGAAGTTTTGTATATCCAAAGTTCCATTATATTTATATTTAAATTGTATGCTTGTGGTCATTTACTACTATTCATTTTTTACATGTGTGCATATTTTAGAACATTGTCAACCAGTAAAATAATACTACCATAATAAAATGCCATTTTAGAAACTGTTTCCATAGACCACAATGAGAACATATTTCCTTTTAAACTCGTTAAAAATATTGTCAATTGTTTTCGTTACTTATGGTCATCAAAAAGTACCTTGTAACAAATTTTATATCTTTTTTCACCATATGTCATCGAGCAAAATGTTAAGATCTCCTTGCCATAGGAGATGATGGTAAAATGCCCTAAAACAAACAAAACGTGTTATCGATAATTTCACTATAATTGATTGATTGATTTTTTCTGAACTGATGACCCCATATTTTTTATTCATTTTCTTAATCCTTGTATAATGGTATACCAAATATTTAAAAATGAAAAAAATTACAATATTGTTACTTTTTACTGAAATTCTTGACACTGGATTTTTCTAAAATTCAAATAAATTTTTGCCTGTATTTTATTGTTTTTAGAAACCTTACTTCTGTACTTCTAAATCAATAGTATGTCAATGAAGATTATTAATCCTTGACTGACTGTCAACAAAACTGACAATACATTCAATGTCCATGTTTTTGAAAACGTGCTGTTCTTGCATTCCAATAAAAGTTGACATACTGTACTCTAATCTTATTATGCCTTTTGTGCCTTACTTCTAATTGGCAAAAATCAGTTTGGATTAATCTATTAATTTGCATTTTAATTACCAGCTATTTGGCATGTTTAACATCTTTCTATTTATATAAAATTATTTTGATAGAGGTGACTAAACCACATTTTTGAGCCATGTGAATTCAATTTGCATAACATTGAGTGAATTGTTAGGCACTTGATATGCAGCTACAATGAGATGGTATAGTGTACATGTCTCATCATGTTCTGTGGTGCAGATCTTCAGGACTGCAGTTATACTTTACATAGACTTGCATGTATTTATGACAAAGTTTACTTTACATAGACTTGCATGTATTTATGACAAAGTTTACTTTAATCTTTTCGATTAAAACTGGCAATTGGATTTTAATGAACTTCTCATTCATAACTTGACTACAAGTTAAAAGACAAGTTTAAAAGTTAACTATCAGTGTACCTTCATTTTTGAGTATTAAATTATTTATATCTAGGAGATCATAAATAAGGTGTCTGGTCTGTCTACAAGCACTACTAAATGTTCAACTGCACCTGGTTGATGCATAAATAGTACCATAAGGGATCATATTCCCCTGTCATAATGCTAAACATGGAAAATAGTTTCTGTGACAATTTGCACATAATAAAAGTCAGGAAAAACAACAATGATATTCAATAACAGGAACTGAAAATTATGTCTTACTCATAGTTTATATATTATTTATAAAAAAAATCATGATTTTAATGAGTTTTTAAAATTTACACTATATGTGGAATAGTAATATGATTGTACATGTACATACAAATGTTCAAAACATCTGGTGTTTACTGTCAACAGTCTAACAGTGGAAGGTTAATAGTTTTGTAATAGAATGTACTACATGCAGTATGTCAGTTACAATATGCCTATATTTTAGCTTTTCTATTGTGATAAATCCTGTCATTTGTGTGTGAAATTTACATAGAAATTAAAAGGAAATAGTGAATTACCTTGACAACACTGTATAACAGCAGTATTGTAAAGTATTTCAGTAATACAGGTATGACTGTGTGACTATTGAGATGTATGTATCCAGGTAAAGTGAGGTCATCCAGTGTGCTACACATATAGTTGATGTTAATGTACACTGATATGTTTGTGAGTTTCAATTGAGCTACTATTCCTGTATATTGTAACAAACATGCACACTATTTCATTATCTACATGAATGCTATTATACTGTATAATATATTATGAACTCTCATGCCCATAATTACTGGTATAATACTTTAGTCATGTTTACACAAATTATCATTATTCAACAATAAATTTTCTGATAATGTGTAAGATGCAGAGTTTCAAATCATAACATTGTAAATAATAAAAATTTATTATTATTTATCATGGTTGAAAATATCTCTTGATTTGTTATTTAAATTTATTTGAATGAACAATATAACTAATGACACTGCTAGTAAAATGTACATTGTAATATCAAATTGACTTGTTATATTATGGTGTTCCATGCGGTGATTTTGTAACAGCCTAGAGCTAGACAAGAGACAATATGATTAAAATATGTATTGTATATGATGTGTATATATATATTTTTTATTATAATACAATGTACCAGTATATCTTGTTTTTTGTTATTTTAACAAACAACCAATGTGCTTTTGAATGTAAAATAGAATGTATGAAAATAATGAAATACATATTTTAGAAGAATGAAAAAATGAAATAAAAAAGCAGAACTAGACTTGATTGGTTGATTCTAAGCTTAATGGAACTTTAAAATTTAGGAACTACTGTACCAATGAATCAATATTCATTTCAATTAGTTTTTAAAACAAATAATTTTAAATAAATATTATTGTATTACAAATTTTTATATATCATATGAACTTAATAATAACCTGTAAAACCAAAAAATAGTCATAAATAAACAAAAGTAACAATAACAAATATATAAATAAAAAAAAAAATTTAAAAATTAAAAAAAATATCAGGTTTTAATCAAATTGTGTCCTGGCATTACAAGAGAAGTGAATTGTTAAATTGTGGGACTGTGGTTCATGATATGATATTGTATTAATTGTAAAATGTAAACAATGTAACACTTTGTCAGTCACCTTCAGCAAATTATATTTGAATGTGGCTACAACAAATCATGTCAAATGGCTTTTTACTTTGCCTGTAACATCAAAGATGGAAGGGAAATGTATATTAAGGGAAACATTTCTGTCCAGCGTTGTCGTCGTCGTCGTTGTTGTCATCGTCATTAATAATTGTTATTGTGTGCACAATAACTTTACTAATTCTATTCCAAACTTTATCAAACTTGGTCACCTTATTCATCAGTATAAACTCTTTCCTGAGTATGAACAACATATGTCCTGTATGAAAATATCATGCAAAAATTGAGAAAATCTGATAAAATATTTTGACTATTTCTACTTGACTGATCACTGGTGATACACATTCAAAGGTCACTGATCTCAGTGGAAATATGCATCATTGTCTGTGTTCAATGAAGCAAATCATTTATCTTGTAATAATTTCCTCGGTAATATATCTCCTAAATCCAATGGAATACTAGACTAGGTTTCAAAACCAACTCATGGAGAGAGTTTTTGTACAGTCTGATACACATTTGCAAACCTAAAATCTTTACAGAAAGCAAGATAAGCACTCCTATGAATTGAGTGCCAAACTTTGATCAAGATTTGAAGCTAATAGAAAATATGTTTAATCCAAAGTTATCAAATCAAAAACAACACATAAAAAATACATAAAAAGCAAATTGTTGTATCCACATTTTGAAAAGAAAAATGTACTAAAAAAATATGTATTCTGTATTTGACAAACAGTTCATTCGACAAATTAAAATTCACAGGAATTTGTTTCAGCTATTAGAACAGAATAATAGAGCTTTATGATAATAATTTAAAAACATACTTTAAAAAAAGAAAGATTGCAAAGTTCGAAGATGTAGATTCTCAGGAGGCAAAATTACTGTTGACTTCTCTCTCGCTGGACACCAACAAACTATTTAAGTTGCTTTGCATTACAAAACAGAGCTTGCAATATGATGGAGGTTTTTTTTTTACTTTTCAAATAATACAGTAGTCACACAATGAATTTAACAAGGCAGTTCATATTTTTCTCGAGGTACATGTATGTAAATGTGTCTCTAGGTGGTAGTTGAGCGTGGTAACTGAGCGTCTCAGTTTTCACGAAGATACGAGTTGAGCGT